CATTATCTTTTGAAGAGGATTATTAAGAGGTAGATAGGCGAGGTTTTAGGACGAGGGGATAGATAATGGATCAAAGCGAACCAATTCAAACATCACGATGTCTTATCGTTAGTTGTTCTTAATGAGATAAGGGGACGAAGTAGGGGCAATACATATTCTTTTATAAAGAGGCTTGGACAAAGTCTATGGGGTAAGGGCGACAAAGGAGCCTGTCACCTCGTGAATACTTCGCTGCTGCGCTTACATCTTCTTCGCCTATCGGATCAGCACCTTCTGTTCTCCTATAGGGTTTCGAATGAATGAGACCCCTTTAGCTTTCACAAATCAATAAATCAACACGCGTAATCGACGCATCCGTGAAGGCGAATGGCTACGTCCCGCCTACGGGACCCTCGCTCGCTGGGGTCTAGTGCGCTCCTCCTGCATGCTTTCTTCCTTCTGGTGAAGCACGAGTCTAACTCGCTGGACCGTAGAAGGAGCAATCCTTACGTCTAATCACCGAGCTCCGCTTGGACCGGCTTGGGGACGGATTGATTCCCCGGCGCTTCAATCTTTCGAAACAAGAAAGAAATCTCTATGACTTCACTTCGCTTCGCTTCCTCAACTCAATTACATGGACCCTGATTCTCTTTTGGGTAAAGCGCTTTGGCAAGAAGGTAAGGCATGGTCAGCTGGAGCTGCGAAAGATATGCTTTACTTGACGTTTCATACCTTGAGGATGGACTTTAAGATCGAATGAGTATGATATTTTTTCTTACTTATCATGAAAGAGGAATAGTGAATAGGCACATTCCAGGGGGTAGTGATGAAAGTGAGTTAAGTTAGCCTAGAGGTTACTAGGTAACTAGAATATATAGAAAGACTGAGCCTTAGCATGCAGAGAAGAAGGGGTAAGCGATTTCATCACAAGTCTATGCTAGGAACGAAGTAACTCGACTGAAAGGAGAGGGTGCCTGGAATCGCTTTCAGGCAATCACATTCTATTCTGATAGAACAATTACTCTATTCATAGCGGTACAAGCCTTAGCTTGCTTGACTACAGGGTCGATGTAATTGAGAAAGGGCAGGGGCATCTCTTGAGTAGAAGGAAGATGGCATAGAATGCAAGCTGTGAGGAAGTGAGTTGTAAGTCTTTCTTATTAAGCGTGTAAGGCAGGAAGAAATTGAGAGTTGTTCTTCCAGGATAAAGCTCTTCTTATTCAACTCTATCTTACGCACCTTATTAGAAAGTTGCTGTCCTTCGGCCTGGCCGCCGACTTCTAGTGAGCTAGATAAAGGTCTAATCTTATGCATCGATGGCTGTTTTAGATCCAATTCCAGTTCTTGTTCCTTTTTCATTTTAGTTGGCAAGGTCAATCCAGTTTCTGTTATAGTTGGATTCTAGGCAGTGGAAGTTCCAGTTGCTGCAGGCTCGATGTAATTGAGAAAGGGATGAAATTGCGAGAAAAGGCATATAAATTGTTTCACTTTTTCATAAAAGAAGTAGAGTTTGTTCACTTTTTTCCGCATATGAATAAGGTCTAATAGTAGTACTGAACTTCTTTTTTGACCGTACAAACGAAGCGAAGTTCAGTCATAGACATCGACAGCAAGCCTTTCTACAGCGAAGGAAAGAACAGGCCCGCCATCCCATACCTATTCCGCCCTCGAAAACACATATGAAAGACCTATGTAATACCTTTTTCCTTGACTTCGCTTCTAAAGATTACATTGACCTATACATACGATAAAAGAGAATAGCATCTAAAAGGAATAACACTAGGTAATCTTCTTCAGAACGGGAATACTAGACCCTACCAAGTCAAGCAACTCCAACTGTCACTGCAACAAGGCAGAAGCCTCAGAATGACGTAATGATCCTTCTCAAGCTTCTGATGAAGAATGAGCTGAAGATAGTACTGACGATTCATCTGAAGAAAGTAAATTCTCGTGGCAAGTGAAAGCTTTAAGTTCTTTCTTTCCCAGTGGACGTGTTAGTGAAATGACATCGAAGAATGGAAAAAAGCTCAATAAATATTGGAGTTGCACTAGTGGCGTCAGGGGGGGAAAACCGCTCTACTAAGCAGGAAAGGTCGGAACTGGCTTGTTGACTGAATTGATTGATCTGCGAAGTGAGAGTGAAAGAATGAGAGAAAAAGAGGGTTGCTTCCATTCCAAGGTATGCACCCAGGGAACCAGATCGACCACTTCCACTCGAAGAAAAAGAAGTCAAAAGGAAGACGAACTAGACTAGCTCGACTCAGAACTCCGAAGTTGAGGTTCGGTCGGCAAATTTAGCGCTAAATTGTCCGGTATATAGTTCAGTAGCAGACGCATAGAAGAGAAAGAAATATCCGCCGCTAGATGAACTGCAAGATAAGCTGCGGGAGATTCCACTAACCAAAACAACAAAGCAAAGGAGACGGAAATAAGAAGGAGATGCTTGACTGCAAGGAGTTGAGTTGAACCTCCCTCAATTACCGATCGGTCTGTTTAAAACCCCAGATCTTTGCTGCTTCTCAATGTAATCGATCCTAACCGCAAGTCCGAATGCGAAGGAAGGTGATTAACCCATCTTTATGGTACTCTAACCCAACGAACGAAGCGAAGCGAAGTGAAGTCAAAGAGGTAACAAAGGAAAAAGGGAATTGTGAAGCTATGAAAGGTGGAATTGTCGTGGGACGGGGAATAATGTCTTTAGTAAGATAGCTCGAAGGTGGTCATGTGGAATAGGCTCACTGACAGTGTGATAGCAATGAGGTTCGATGTAATTGAGTAAAGTAACAATAAAGAATTAGAATCCAAATCTTAACAGAATTCAAATAAGTTTCATCCGTGTAAGAATTAGGAATAGGTAAATTACATCTAGCCTTGATCCAATTTCCCAGCTCAAGCTTTTTTGGGTTGGACTCCCTACAAGCACTTCAATAGGCGTCATCTCTAGCCCTAGTTGCAAATTCTCATTCTATGTATGACCAAGCTATGCCCCATCTGTTCTTTCTTGTAAGACGAAAGAAAATATGATATATTCCAGTGGTTAATCGCCTGGGGAAGACTATTGACTAATCGAGACGATCTTTACAGAACAGAGATGGGCAGGGCTAAATAAAAAGGTAGAACGGATTAAGGAGAAGTGACGAGAGCGAGTCTCAATTACACCTTCCCTCGTACTACTACATCTCTTTTTTCCTTCACTTCGCTTCCCAAAAACAACCCTTTCCTTTAAGCGCTCGCTCGGCTCCTTTGCTTCATGTGAATAGCTTTCCCCCTAATAACTTGCGCCTGCTTCCTTCTGGCTTGACTGAATGGGCAGACTGACGCATAGGCTACACTTGAATTACTAAATTCAATCCTTTCAGATGGCACATGGGTGGGATCGGGTCGTTCCTAAAGAAATCATTGCCATGGAACCTCATCTATTGAGCTCAATGAGTCCACCGCTTATCTAAGTATCGAACTCGGGCAAGAGCATCAGAAGCAGCCTTCCGGGTAGTCTATCCATTTTGTTTGTTAGCGTCCGGGCAGATTGAAGAGAGTAAAGTTCCGCATCATCAGGATAAGGCGGTCGTCTCGCAGATGAGGAAGCAAGGCGAGGGGCTGCTAGTTGTCAAAGGCACCTTTGCGCGGTGTGATTCATTTCAAAAGTTGCTCAAGCGGGCCGGTCAGTAAGCGGGAAAGCTAAAATGCTCCCATTCAAACAAAGTTTGTGAATCGTAGAGAGAAGAGGCGCTTGCTGTCTTTCTTTCTGATTGGGGGGGTGGTTGAGCATTCTACTAGATATACAGGTTATAGCATCTTTTGTAGTGACTCCCTTATCTGCTCAGGAGTGAGCCTTGAATAATTGCTGTAAAGAAAGGACTTATCACCTACTACTACTAGCCTTTCGACTCAGCGCAGGGGCGCTTAATCAAAGTTTTCATTATCTGCGATATGATAGAAGATGTTCTCTACTTATTTGAAATGATACGTAATAGGGTCAGTTCAAAACTAAAATAATCCATATGTTTTTTTTTGCCAAATTCTTAGCGGCTAAATAAACTGGCTTGGCTATTGAGAATCTCATTTTCCCAACGGATCGAAAGTAGAAAATAAAATGCCGGGGTACTTTCATTCAGCCAGTCCTTCGGTCCCTTCATTTCTCCGAAATAGGGATCTGAGGTTCCATTCCACCCAGGCAGGCAAGGCAACGTCCGACGACTAAGAGTTCGGGTCTGGCGAGAGTTGCTTCAATCAAATAGAATAGAAGAAAGCTTCCTTTTTATGTTAGTTTATGGTACCGGTATTTCAGTAGAGGAGAGTAAGAGTAGCGAACGTGAGAGGCACGAAAGCTCTCGAACGAATTTGATCATTCCCCAGCAAAAAAAAGCACCCTTAGGCAGCAAGAAAACTCCACCGGTCGGTCAATGACCTCAACTTAAAACTATTCCCGCTGCTTACAACTAAAGCTCAGATAAGATAACGGAATAACTCCCCTCTTCAGTCGAGAACCTCCTTAGGACGCGTGAAAGCCAAACAGCACTAAGTAACCCTGTCGCTATCGGTCGATTCCCAATTCCTGTGCTAACTAAAACTAACTTTCAGACCTCGGCTGGGCACGCTACGCTCGAAGACCCCCCCTTTACAGTCTCACTCCTCTCTCTTGGACCAACCAAGCACTAAGCGCGAGCCCTCTCATTAGTAAGTGTCTGTCCTACCGGTTCGGTAAAGAATCCAATTTGGCCTTTTTTTGTCCTCTGATGGAACCTTATCATTTAGTTCATTCGATTGATTGAATAACTACATAGGCTATAGGCTGGCTTGTTTTAGCTCTAGTTCAGTTACCCGGAGGAGGTGGTGTCTTCAAACCTGCTCCGCTCCTAAACCAGAGTCCCGACCCTTTACTTACCACCCCCAAGCCTAGCGCGTAACCATAATCCCGGGGCAACCTTAGCTCCCCCAGCCTTGCCAGCTCCGTTACTCGGTCTTCAGCCTTAAGTCTATCAAGGGCGGGCAATTAAGAGTAAGTCGGTATTCAGGAACCGATGGGCCAGCCCGGATCCTGCCAAGCCAGGAAAGCTAGTTCAATATTCAATCACAGACCACATTCTGGAACACCTGATATATCCGTGTTTTCATCTTTCTTATTCGGGACCCTAACTAACCCTAGGCCTTGCTTTTTCGAAAGCAAGCGAAAGAGATCAAAAGGTCTGAATTTAGTTTATTTAGTATAGAGTCTGCCAAGGAAATTCAATTACGTTCTATTCGAAGCCAATTAGAGCTTGCCGGAACCAGGAAGAAAGCAGCTTTCACGCTAGTTGTTCACTCCTCTCGTTCCTGCGCCTTCCTTACCTTAGTTTAGCTTTGAATCAAGTCGCAGACTGCTTGGCTACTAAGAACTTTTCAAATACAAGATCCATTGACTCCGGGGCATCACGTCTCTGGACGGACTTGTTACGGAACTAATGAACTGGTTACGCCTTGGGGTCGTGCGGGGTTAACTAAATCCTTCTACGACCCTGGCCGGGGTCTTTCATCGTTAGCATAGTGCAGTGACTCAACAAGCAAGAGACTAGTTGCGGAAGGAATAGGGCGAGCAACCCCTTATTAGTAGTTACACGACTTCGATTGTATGGCTTAGGGAACTCTTCGATATCTCCATAGCTGGACTCTTTCTATTCTAGATAGCGGAGAGATTGAGATAAGGCAATAAAGTATAAATCCCCTGGGGCAAAATAAACTTGGAAGGCCTTTTTTTAAAGTGGAAAGCAAAAGAAAAGGCATCTCGTTCCATTTATTGGCGAAAGAGCTGGACTTGACCTTCTATTCTAGCTGTTCCGTTAGAGGAGAGGGGAATGGAATGAAAAAGAGAGGTTAAAGCAAGGAAGCGAAGCGGGGAAACGCAGGAATGAACTCATTTTATTTTCTTGGATATTTACTTTTTTTTCATTTTTTCAAGACATCCCAAGGGTATTCCATTAGTGGGATCCATAGCCTACGGGTCTTTCCCAAGCCAGTAAAAGAAGAAGGTTTTCGAGGACTACCCTAAGCCTACAAGTAGGCAGGACTTTCAGTTACAATGTCTAGGTTGGGCAAGCTTGGATGCCCCTACTCCCAACAAGTTGCTGGTCGGGATCGTGAAACTATCGCTGTTTGGTCATAAGGATAATAGTTATTATATTTTTAGGTCAGGGGCGGCCGGACCGGGGCCGCGATTGGTAATGGCATAACCAGAAGAGGAGTAGGGGAGACAAGGTTATGCGCTGGGTAGCGCAGCGCATCTGTTTCGGGTACAGGGGCGACGAGGGGTGCTTGTTAAAAAGAATTTCTTCTTTCTTGCTTTCCCTTAGCAGCGGGAAAGGGTGAAGGGGAGCAAAGTGATCCCAAGGCACCACAGAGCTCCTGTCGCTCTCTTCTTTTTCTTTACCTTCTTTCCTTTGAGTAAAAGAGTTAGCTAGCCCGCCCAGCCAGGACCAAGCGCCCAATTCCACTTTTTGCAGCTATATGAAATGCAAAAAATGGAATTTCTCAGAACCTCCCTGACAACATAGCTTTGCTAGCCCATACGGCCGACTTTATAGCACGAAATCTCTTGTTTGCCGCCCCCTTAGGCAAATCTCATACAGCAAGGTCCTCGAACTCGCGATTTCCTTTTAACCACTTTTGTCAAATAGAACCTCTTAAAGTGGTTATGCCTTATATTCCTTTCTTCCTTTGCCCAGTCGATTGACTTTCTTTCACAAGTAGGTCTGACTCTCTTCTGAGTTAGCTCTTCTTTTGACTTAGAGTTGTTACAGAAGTGGATCGATTCGATCAAGTGGATAGATTAGATCCTTTCAAGGGAGTCTATGTCAAGTGAACGACTAAAAAGGAATCAAAGAAGCGGTTGAGTAAAGAATGGGTCACTCTATAAGGATTCTCTGACACTGGATTACGATACATCCTCACATAGTTTACCAACGCTCATTCCCCTTACTCATAATAAGTGGCTGGGTCACATTCGCTAACAGGCTAAAGAACAGGAAAGTCGGTTTACTTGCAAACTACATCAACCCTCTCAGCGGGCGTATCCGCAACTCCCCGAAAGAATGGCATTTATGAGTCCCTCGCTTTTCTCCACTCTAACTAATTTCCACCAACTCCCGCCGCTAACGTCATCATCCCCTCACCTCTTCGTCAACGGCTCTTCACTCCCCCTTTTCCCCAGCCTTCGTGTAAAGAAGAAAGTAAGTGAGCCATACGGAAAAGAGATTGATTCGGGCTTCCTGTGATGAAAGATACGCGTTGATCTCCTCACCTTTCTAACTTTCCGGCTTGCTGGTAATCTTCCTTTCTTCCTATCCCTCCGCCCTACTTATGCATCCTGAGTTCCAAAGGAAGAAATTGCAAAGTATAAAGCTCGTTAAAGTAGTCAAGGCGGTCCCTCTCTATGAATTAGGGGAGCTTTGAAGCCTCTTTTCCTTCGACTCGAATGCAGATGAGTGAACTCCCTTCCCACTTCTTTATTAGTTAGTAGGTCTCTTGACTCACTGAATCTGTACCTTTCGTAGGAGTAAACCGGAAAGTTAGGTTTACCGGATGGTGCATTTAATGCTTCTTTCTTAGCAACTGATGGAACATAGGCAGAGTACCTCTTTAACAAGAAGATGCAAAGGTAGGGATATCAACGCATTAGGAGGGTCAGAGGTTAGATGAGAAAGGTACTCGGTAAAGACAGTTAGCCATCGTGAAAGACTTGAATGACTTCTCCTCTACGTAACTCTTACTTGAACAGGTCGTGTGAATAAAAAAAAGAAAAGAAAGAAGAGAGGCCTTGCTATATATGAAGTAAAGAGGTTTAATTCTATAAAAAATGTATTTGTGATATGAAAAGCAGCTGAGTTTCAATTGGGAAGAGTAGGTCAACTATCTAATAAGGCTGATCTACGGCAGGTTCGAATCCTGTTTCCGCTATTCGTACTGTTTTCTTTCTCCGAGGACTTTACTAGTACCCTTCGCCCAGTAGTGCCGACAACACATAGCCCGTGACCTGTTATAGGTGGGCGTTGTCGGCCGGTCACCGAAGGCGAACAACCATTCCTATGAGATCGACGACACATCAAGTTAGGAATATTTAAGATAGTAAAGGACACATGAAAGAATTGATAGGTTTCGCCCCTATGCCGCCGGAAAGAATTCATTTTTATGATTTTACATCTGAGATTGGAGAATTGAATTAACCAAGGTGCGCGGCTTTTGAGTTCGTTGAGAGCTGGGGCAAGTGCATTAAAGGAAGACTCAGCATTGGAGTTGCTCCTGTAGCAGTTGCTGGTTGGTGTTATATTAATAAAGTAGGTTCGGGAGCATGAGCTGGATAATTTCTTTTCCCGTTACAATAATTGTTGGAAAGGAAGTCGGCTAGTAGGTAAGATCGATGTCTTTAGTAATATGCCTTTGATGAGTCTTTCACACACAGGAGGGACCTAAGAGAGCCGAGTTGATTGGCGGTCCTCAGGTGCAATCACCATATCGATAAAGGATGCGGGAGAAAATGCGTTGATTCATGCTTTTGAGTTGACTAGGTTGACTCAACTCGTGAGGAAGTTCCGGGCATTACAACCCAAAGGGAAATAACATAAGAAAGGAGGCCAGGTCCATGTCGACATTAAAAGGCCTATCTTGCTTCGGCTCTCGGGAGTCAGGTTTGAGCTTTTCCTCTTCGCTCAGTCAGTAGTTTTCTTTCATGCTAACCTAAGGCAACTGATAAAAGGCGGATGGCACTCTACTCTCATTCCTTCTCCTCTCACTTGCCATCAGGAAAAACGGAGTCTTAGTCTTTCGTTAGCCTGCCTTCCTACTTTACTGTGTTAGCCTACTTACTAGACCGAGTATCGGAAGAGAAGCAGGAGAGTTAGAAGCGTATCTACTTTCAACAACTATCACAAATCCTTGTCTCAGAGGGCCTTACGACGCCTTTCATGCTTTTTGTTAAGTTACGGGATAAAAAGAAGATCAGAAGTAGCCGCAAAAAAAAGAAAAAGAGGGAGCTGCATCCCGCCCCTTATTAGTTAGTTGGGTTCCCTGCGGGGCGTTACCGTGTCTTGTCTACATCTTATTAGCCACTAAGGAAACCTGTTCTTGCCCAGTCGAGAGCCGAATTAGGTCCTTTTCTCAAGACATGCTGAGGGGGTGAAATGAGCCTTTGGGGCATTTCGAGCTAGTTCACGTAGTCCGGCTTTAGGCTCCGTCGCAACGGTATTAGTAACTAGCAGCAAATCCTTAAATGTGGTATTTGCGTAAGAAGAATAGTACCGAGCCTGTCATCCGGCTAATAGCAGTTCCCTACGCTTGGGAAAAGACAGGAACCTTCCAGAGCCCGACCTCCTTAGGCAAGAACAGAAGAGAACTCTTCCATAGGTCCAGGTCCGTAAGGATCTCCTGAAAGAAAGGACGAAAGCTCCCAATCTGCTGAAAAAAGAAACGGTGGAAATTGACGGAGAAGAGAGGTTCATTAGATCGATTCTTGCGTTTGCCCCCTTCGATGGGCCCAGATATCGGGCATCGTTATCGTGCGATTGGGCTTAGGAAACTGACTCTTTATAGAGTCGAGTCCGCATACTTCCTCATTACTATATGCTCTATCTCACAGGAGAAGATAGCCGCATGTTATCTTACACTCCCACCTCCTATCCTTTTCAAGACGCGAAGGCGATCCATGGAACACAGATGGTAATGAACCGGGCCTTTTATAAAAGACCTCTATTTTTCCAATCTGTTTAAGCGGGTATGGCGTCAGAAAGCTAGGCTTACGTCCCTTCCCTCTGAGTTGGGAAATGCTTCCCCGTACCCTGCCCCGCTAAGACTAAGGGTCTTCCCTGCCACCGAGTCATAAGAGTTATTCTTTTGAATTCGGTTTTATGATGGAAAAGCCGACCAGTTTTCGACGAATAGGGCAAGAAAAGGGCAAGGCGTCTTCTGCTTCTGCTACTACTGGAAACGTTGGCTTAGTTCCATCAGCTACATATTCTCAAAACGTTGAAGGTTAGGATGAAATGGCTTCCTATGGCAGCTCGTACTCAATTACATCGACCCTCGCTTGAGGAGAGACTTTAACCAAGAATAGGCCACATGTTGAACTCTCCCCTGACGAAGAAGGTGATGATGGTGACGCGGATGATGTTTATGTTGATTTTTCTGGTGTTGAACCATAAAAACGAAGCGAAGCGCAGTGAAGTCATAGAGGCAGTCGAGATCTTTAAACCTTGACCTCACTTCGTTCCTCATCTCATCAACCACTACGAGAATCTTAGGAAGAGCATAGGAAAGTGGGATCTATTCGTCGCACGCGCCTCGAATCTACAGCTTGCACTGGCGCATAAGCCTACCTTAGGAATCTCCTTTTCCATCGTACCCACACACTATCTCTCCTGGAAAGCAAGTTGAGCAGACTGAATTCAAACTCCTAATTTAGAGATTCCCTCCCAGTCGAATACGAAGAGAGGTGGTACAAGTAAGTGAGAGGCATCGAAGCTAACCCTTAGCGATCAACATGTCAAAGATGGTGTATACCTTGCTTTCATCGAAATCTTCGACTTTAGAGAGTCGTTCTTTGAGAGAGATTTTATTAGCCTCCTTATTTGTCCATCCCCAGCCTTTCCGGAAGGCCATCTGACCACGGTCTTCTGCTACAAGAAGATGGATTGAATATAGTGCATTTCCTTTTGGTTGAATATGGTCTCGATAGCATAAGTAGCGGCAACTAAGCCTCTGCCCTGACTCACACGGAATGGTAAACTTTGCTGCTCATAAGGGGTCAAGTGGACATGTCCGCCAGCTCCATATGTGAAATTAAATGTCGATGGATGTTCCAAGGGTTCACCAGGCCTGGCAGCGGCAGGGGGTAGGGGAGTAGGGAGCTTCCCCCTTCCCAATCAGCTATAGCTGGGTTGTTCGAACAGAATTATGATGAGCAGCGAAGTAAAGGCAGTGGCGGGCTCAGAGCAGAGGCAGTAACGGATTTATTGTATTAAAGCCTTTTTAGAATGAATTCTAAGGAGACAAAGTTTTGATTAGTCGTCCTATACGCTATTTGAAAGTTGACTTAATTAAGTAATTCTCACCGTGAACTGGATCAACTGCAGTGGGAAATACACCTTAGTTCCGTTTACCAGAGCACAGACCCTACCCTTTCTCTAAAAAGGAGTAAGGGGAGCGCTAACAAGAGAAACCTTTCTCCTTTCGATTCTTATTTGTTTGTGTTTCGAACTGGCATACGAGCCAAGTAGAGTATTATGTAGCTAAACAATGATAGTTGCCATTGGAGAAGGCACCATCTCAGTTGAGTAAGGTATCGCGAAGTCGAATCAGCAGCATAGCGAATAACAAGCTCAAAAGGTGAGACCAAAGGGTCGATGTAATTGAGGCTGAAAAACGAAAAAGCACAGAAGGTCGAGAATACGCAACGAGGATGACGAATGATGGTTCACCAAGGGAGGCTCAAGCCAATCTCGTTCAAAGCTTCCCGTTGCTCCATGGATCGCAGCGCTCAGTCGTCTCTGCCCTTGAAAGGGATTGTGTTGGATGGATTTTCGCGTAGATTCTTTCATTCAAGAGGACATCATCATCTGCTACTTCTTCGTATGCTTTCTTCTTTGTTTTACTAGTGAAGCAGCCACTAGTGCAAACTATCCCTAATCGTACGGTGAACCCGACCTTACTTACGGCTTATTCGCATATGTCGATCGACAAGATCGCTTGTTCAACCAAACTTCCTATTCGATACCTTAGCTCGTCCTCTAGGGGCTTTAGGACCATACTTCGTCCTCTTCTTGGCTACTGTAGCGAATTCTATTTACTTACGCTATTTATCGATGCGACCCATGGAACCCAACCAAGTCATATCTACAAGCCAATCCAAGACAAGTCTTCAATACATATGTGCCCTTCTCCATCTCCCCGTTCCCTTCTTTGGGATTAAGACAAGACAGACAATCTTCTATCTACTCAAGGCCGTGTCGTTCCTTCGGCTGGAGCCAACTTATCCTATCGGTGAAGAAGAATTCGTACAGTTCGCTTGTCAGCTCACCTACTTTACTTTGTCCTCTTCGCCTTATCAGAGGCATTCACCGCTAACCTTAGAATCTAAACAAACTCCTAATGAACTAAATTCCTAATCTCATTAAGAACAACTTACTCTAATCAGATGAGCGTCTTCGCTTTGATCGATTACCCCCTCTCGTCCTAAAACCTATACTCAAAGGCTACCTTTACCCGAAACCGACACAGGTGGGCTAGTTCCTACGCGTAGCGCTTCATTCTTCTAGTTCCTACGATGTCATACCGGGCCGCAAACAACAAGCACGGCAGCGGAACTGGCACAACATCACGACCCGGGCGCCAGCAACAGCACGGCCGGGGAAACTGGGACAACGGGCAAATCGACAGGACACCGACACGAGCTACCAATTTCCACGCCCAATATATATCATTAGAATTCATAACTGGCATAACTGATTAACTCAGTTGAGAAATTTCGAAGTTCAGTGATGTTTCAGACAACTATTATGCAATTGACTCTTTAAGTAGATTGTACTTCTATCTGTTGAAGGAATTGAAGTGAATAGGAATCACTTAAGAGTTTCTTATTCGTTTCGATTCTAGGAAGATCTGTTGTTTGTGAGTCCTTTTGATTCTGGAATGACTAGCTGATTCAGCGAAGTAGCTCCATACCGCCTTAGGTGAGCAGAGAATGGGTAGCATAGCGACAAGGTAGTTTCTTTCCCGTCCCGTTAACCAAGTCAAGTCTCATGCTCCTATAAAAGCCTTTATACACCCACTAATAGCCCATTCACCCACTTCCGCGGAGGATCGTATCCAATTTAACTACTTTGCAAGTTGGTTTCATGGCGGATCTCTGTAAAATACTCGTTTGGACGAGGGCTTCCAAACACATCATAAGCTAAACCCAACGAACTTTTCGAAGCGCAGTGAAGTCAAGGAATTCATGCCCTGGTTACTCATCCCACACAAGGTCAATGGTTGTTCACTGCTGTATATGCAAGTCCAGTGATGGAAATTCGTAGGAAGCTATGGGAGGAATTTGAGGACCTAGCCCAAGACGTAGCGCTGCCGTGGTTCCTGGTTGGTGATAAAAATGACATGAGGAATAGCACTGAGAAAATTGGGGGAGCCGGTGTCAGCATATATTTTCAGGGGAGCAGATGCATGCGATTTAATAAGATGATTGATACATGTGGGTTAGTGGATATGGGGTTTCAAGGTCCAAGCTTGACTTGGCATGGTACATGCAGGGGAGGTGTAAGAGTAAAGGAGAGGATCGATTACATTGAGGCTCGACCATAGGTCAATGTAATCTTTAGAAGCGAAGTGAAGTCAAAGACGGGGTCTCTCTTGAACCAGCCAACTCAAAAGGTTTTTCCCGGTAAAAGATTCTGCTCGTGAGCGAAAGAAAAGGTCAATTACATCTTCACTCGACCAGCTTTATGACTGAACTTCGCCTCGCTTCGTTCGTTGAGGTCAATTACACCTTCCCTCGTACTATGGTCGAGTCTCACTTTGCTCTCCTAAGCTAAGAACTTAAATAAAGGTGTTACCTAGAAAGTAAAAGTCTCTTCTTTTGAGGATGCGGAGGAGGGTAGTATGGAAAACGAGATAAAGGTGTGGTCATTGGCAGCTCATTTTTCCTTTGTTTCTTTAATTTACATTCTCTTAGGATAGTGTAGATACCATCGGGGTGGTTAGAGCCCCTAAGAATCAGGCAATTGACGTATTACAAGGAATCGAAGGAAACTGGCTTGCTTGATTCGGGCAGGAAAGCAAGTCAACCAGGAAGAAAGTCACACCACGTATCAGCTCTTGACCTCCTTAGCACTGTCTCCCTCCCTAGTTAAGCTCAGTCCCGTAAGGCTGGACCGAGTGTACTAGTTTACATTCTGAGGCAAAGAACAGTTCTTTCGGACCCAGATAATCAATGTATTCATAGTACCCCTCCTCCCGAAAGTTTCCGTTGGGCCGTTGTCTGTAAGATATGTATGGGTAATTGACCTGACTCCCAAAGATGAGAAGCCAACTCAACAAACGATAGCAAAGGGGTTTTGCAAGTTCCATCAACAACATGGGCACAATACTGACTTTTGCATGAGGTTGAGGCATGAAATCCAGGATCTGATTGATGCAAAGAAGATTACAGATCCGGATTCCTCAAAGCCTTCTACTCAGAGGAACCCGCTCCCCGATCATAGGGTTTCTTTGATTAGCTCTGGAGTCTCTGAAGATGATGTGATGGGGACTTTTGTGGAGGAAATTCTGAATCCTGAGAAGAAGATGAATATGGGCAGTGTCTATGCAGTTATGGTCTTGAATGTATGGGAAGACTCCTCAGAAGAAGAGGAAAGGGATGATAACAGGAGCACCATTACTGTGGATGTCTGGTTCAACTCCGAAAGTGAAGGCTCGATGTAATTGACCTAACGAACTTTTCGAAGCGAAGTGAAATCATAGAAGAAGCAGGAACTCTGATTATCTATTCTCTTTATTGAGCTCCCTTATCTAACCAGGGCTCTTCTTAGCGCCCCGAAAAGCTGGAACCGACGAATATGAATGCCGCGTAAGGGGACGAAGTAGGCTCGACGTTGCCAGGAGAGGGTGCCCCCACTACGCGGTAGCTCTTCTAGCCAATGCCAGGGATTTCTAACCAATTCAATGTTGAAGCTAAAGAGAAGTTACAGAAGTACGGAAGTCTTAGTTTCGTTTATCCGAGTGTAGCTAAACAACTGAGTCTTCTTTTCGTGACGGGTGTAGCTACCCATTCCAACTTAGTTGTTAAAAGAAAACTCGTTCTGTCCGGTTCGATCTCTTATCTTCGCGTCGGTCAGTCAGCTCGTTGAGTTCCCTTCCTTTAGCTCGATGCAGCTAACGATTTAAACTGTGAAAAGAAAAGCAAGCTCAGTCCGGTTCGGTCCAGCGTATGGGTACGGTATGGAGCCACGGTTTTGGTCGCAGACCCTTTCATCGTCTTTGTATGGGTTTCCCAAGGGGTGGGAGTATTTTGGTATATGGCTGAAAGCGAAGTTTAAGTCTTTGTTCTCGTAGCTACGATTCATGGGGCAGGTAAAAGAAATATTGAATTCAAAGAGTAAGGCTCGATGCAATTGAGATGAAATTGACCTAAGTCCAGAGACCTTTTCAGATGCCTGCCTTCACTAAAGAAAGGAGAGGAGAGAGGTAATTGAGCTAAGGGCATTTTAAAGAATGAAGCATCCAATTCAAATTCCATTGACAACGGTCTGACCATTCCCACGAGCAGAAAGATCCGAAGCAAGTAGGCTTTTTTTTTGATTCGTTCTGTCTTTCTTCCACTTATTGTTGGTACTGCAGCTGGGACGAAGACTGCAAAGCCTTTGATCGAGATCCGTCTGAGTAGCTCACGCGACGCCCACAGGGTCATCTACGATATTATGTATTTCCTTCGGCACCATACCCTGTAGACTGATTCATGATATGGATCTGCTGCCACTCGAGCAGGTCTTGGACTGTTCCAATTCAATGCGCCATCCCTTCCCGTATACGATATCGCAAAACGTCCTTTCACACTTATTGCTTTAATCGACCCCAAGGGGAGCAAAGTGAGACTAACAGAACGAAGCGAAGTGAAGTCATAGAATAATCAAAGGTGTGTGCTCCATACTTGTCAAAAGTTTTTGCTCATATACTGGAGAAAGCAGACGAACTCTTCTTTGCTCAAGCTTATGCTCGTACCCGACAGAATTTTTCCTGGCTGCTCTTTCAACGTCTGATAGTTCAAAGACTGAGAGAGCAACGTACGATAGTTAAAAGACTGAGAAGGGATGATTTTCTTTACTTTTATTTAAACCACGCGCCTTTGTTGTTCTGGATCTTGTTTTGTGCCCGTTTCCGGGCAGGGTGCGCTGGTTACGCTTTAAGTGAGGAGACAGGAGCTCTAGCTCTTAGAGAAGTTCCCTAGGCCAGACAAAGGTCTAGGGGGAGTCCGGAAAGAGGGCTATTTAACCGGTGGCCCCGTAGATGTAGGAAGGCGGAGATATAAAGTACGATGCAATTGAGCGGGATATTTTATTGAATCAGAAGAGAAAGAAGCTTCTATGACTGAACTTCGCTTCGTTCGTTGGGGAGAAAAGAATGAGAAGTTGCTGCGGTTGAAATGGAGTCCCGAAAGGGTCTACTTTTCTTTCTAACCGGGGGCCTTTTTATCACTTCAAAATCAATGTATTTATGTGGATGGGATTAACGGGAAGGAAAGAGAAGATATGGTCTTGTCAGAGCCTCGCATCCTTTTTTCTATTTTTCCCACTACGAGTTGATGTAAGGGGGAACCCTCTTTGAACTAGGTGCCCTAGAAGGATATGATTCTAACTGTCGATTAGCAGGGCTACAGGCACGAATTCGTATTAGGAACGCATGGCTAATCGGTCGGTCTTCTCCAAATTCCTTGACTTCACTGCGCTTCTAAAGTTGGGTCAAAGCCGGACTCTAAACTGAAGTCAAGTCTGACTATTCGCCCGAAAAAGCTTAATAGGAATTTTTGTTGTGTAGGAAAATGGACTGAGAAGTGGGTTTCGGGAGAGAGATCATCGGAAGGCATGACGCCCATAGAATGGGAAATGGAGGCTTGATGTAATTAACCTTGATCTCAATTAGAAGTGCATATGGCACGTCAAGTGCGGGATTGGCATCGAGACAACCCACAGGCAAAAAAGACGAGCCGAGGACTTGCTTTCTTTTCGAAGCTGATAGGTTACTGTGAGATTCTTTCTCATAGCAGTGCGGAATCTTTGTTCCAAGCATTGAATAATCACAAGAGTTTTAAAAGAGAGGATAAATAAGGGGTCTTTACCCTTCCCTTATTTAAGGTGTCTGATTGGAGTCGGTTGATTAGATATACACCTTCCTTACCCGGTAAAAATCGCCTATCCAGAATACAAAAGATCCGTCGCTCTTCGCTCGAGCCAAGAATGTGACTCTCAACATCGAGACCGTCTTGGCTGGTGCCGAGGAAAACGGCAATTTACTAGCTTTCCCAGACGGCAACAAAAGAAAAAAAAAAGACGTGAAAGAGAAGTCGTGGAGGGGCTGTCTCATGAAATCCTGTACATCCCTTCTCGGATTCCCTTTTGGATACTACCTTTACTTTATCCAATGGGAAGGATCTCATATCGATTCAAGGGTCGAACGCATCTCGGATTTCGAAAGGTGTTGGGAATGGCAAGTCTTTCACGGAGGATGGGGTAGAAGGGGATTCAATAGGAAGGGAAAGAGGAATACCTGGATCTTTCCGAAGAAGGCAATTGATGTGAGGTCATTGGTTCCGTAAATGGAACTTTTTCGTCTCTCATACGTTTTGTAGGACGCCCTTGCTGCCCCCCGAAGGGATCACTTTTGTATTCTTCCTTATGAACAACTTCATCACTAATACAAGGGCGTTTAGGTCTTCGATGGAGCCTCCACAGTCTTTCCATTCTCCCCCTGAGGAGAGCATGGATCACAGACTGCTTTCCCTTGATCAGAAAAGTAAGGTACATCCTCAAAGAATGTGACATCCATAGAAAGATACCTCTTGTTGTTCAAAGGGTTATAACACAACTATCCCTTCTGAGAACTGGAATAACCGACAAAGATACATTTGACAGACCTATGACTCAATTTAAATAAACTAGGATCCAGAAGATGAACAAAACAAAGACACGTAAAGGGATGGAATAAAGAGGAAAACCAGGGAGAATAGTTTGGAAAGGAGGTCAACAAGACGGCTAATCGAGCGTAGAGACAGAGAAGGGCAACAATAAGGCTTGCAGTACCACTTCCCTCCTTCCTTCCTTTTCTTGGGTGAGTCAGTGGAGTCTGTTTTACTCGAGTTGAGTGAGCTAGGTGCTGGAGTTAGCTGGTTAGCTCGAGTGAGATAGGTGGTTTATCGAGGTGAGGGTGAGGGTTCTGATATGCTCGTTTTAGGTGTCTAAAACGTAAGCTGTTTTATGTTTATTTGAATTGAGAAATCAATGTTTCATTGAGTTGGGCCGCTTCTGATCCTCTTCAATCAGTGGAAGTTCACTGACCCCCCTTTTGGAGAAAGCTAAACCTGACGCGCTCAAATCCTGCCTCTGAACCCTCACTTGACAAAGAGCCTTGATGAAAACGGAAGGTCCCCAACATTCAAACCTGCTGCTACGGATTCGGGAATGCCTGGGTACCTGCCTGCTTGCGGATCCTATCAATCAACAGATGGGGAGTACGAGTTGCTTGAAACGGATAATGTAGGGAGTGTACCAACAACTCGTCATGCACTCGACCTGTCTGAAGTTCGAGCGAATGGGACAGAAAGGAATAGAACGAGTGATGGACTGTCAACAGCAGATCGAACTCTCTACGACCTCTCCAAACAGTATTCATCTTCCTTATCCCTTCGGTTAAGTTCTTTAAACAAACGCGCGCGCAGAAAGATCGGCTAGGCTAAAAGAAAAGGCCTGTTATCTCTTATAGTCTTCCTTTAGGGAGGAGAAGTAAAAGACAAGGAATACAGATGATGAAAGAGGCCCAGCCCGGATGGGACTATAAATCGCATTCGGCGGGAGGAAAATTCAATAAATATTCGTAGCTGATTGGTCCTATGACAACTATTAAGACCGATCAGGAGACTTTAGGAAAGATTTGCTCGAGGGTAGATGTAATTTAGAAGGAGAGCTCCTTTCTAATCGGTAGGGAAGTCAAGCCATAAGGATCGAAGTCCCCTAAGGTTGACTAACGTCTTTCATGCCCCACTGGGAGGACACTATTCATAACATAAGGTATTCTTATTCTTGATCTTTCCACTGATGAAGGGAACTCCCTAGCAGCATAGGTCTGTCCCCCGGTTCCCTTTCCCTCGCCCACTCAAGTTCATTACCAACCCAATCCGGCTGTTCCTCACATCTGATTGATCGAGTTGACTCCTCTCTCGCTTCCAATTCGATTCGATCCCCGATGCCATCAACCGGCAGTGAGAAGTCGAGTAGGCTAGCCGATGTTCCAGTGATAGGCGGATCTTCTCAATCAGCCCTTCCCTGCGCCTCCCCTTTCCATCCGGAAAAGATGAGCTCTACCTCTATTCCTTCACTCGCGGGTGGTCACCCGTAACCGTCCCTTCCACCCCTCCCCCGTAAAAGCTCGCTCAGTACAGTACCCGGTTCGATCTTTCGCGTCGAGACTCACTTCGTTCTCTGAACCTCGGATTTATAGTCGAGCATATGTTATAACCTTTCCTTCACTGCGCTTCGCTTCGTTCTTATGGTCGAGCTCAATTACATCGACCCTCGCTAATGGGCCGACTGCTACAACCTGAAGGTATTAAACCCCCTATCTTCGAATGACCTCAAGGCTAAATTGCAATCTCTTTGGTCTCTTTCTTCGTCGTGGAATTTGGTGCGGCTTGGTAAAGGATACTACAGCATGCCATTTTCGGATCTAGAGGACCGTAAAAAGGCTTTTGCGAAAACAGCATGGACCGGGTTCCATTCGGCTTATGAAATGGATTCCCGACTTTAATCCATATAAATTAAACACCTCCACGGGGATTCGCATTTATGAGCTGAGCATTGAATAGTGGGTCCCAGAAGTGATTCTGAAGATAGCGAGCTGGTAAGCCTTTACACATCGACGACCGCTCTCTGTCCGGCCACGTGGGACACTTTGTACGCGTGTTGGTTGAGGTGGACCTGGCTGCCCCCCCCTTACAAGAGCATATTATGGTGGAAAGGAAGGATCACTGTGCTTTTCTTAGCATTGGTTACGAGAACCTTCCACCGCCCGTCCTGTATGGTCAAAACTATCGAGCCTTGCATCGATATATAGAGGGATCATCGGCGCAAAAACAAGAATCGGCCAAAGACAAGAAGGCTCATACGAACATGAATGAGGCGGCACGAAAATCATGGGCAGATAGATCGGCGGATGATCCCGACGAGTGTATCCAGGAGGCCTCTTCGGAATCCTCCCTAACCTTCCTCTCCTTTTAGTCGAGCCTCAATTACCTCTCTCCGAAGGAGCTAAGCAAAGAGTCGATCCTGCTAAGCAGCTAAGCGAACAAAGGTAGCTGAACCAATAGGCAAAGTACCCGGTAGATGAAATATCTAGCCGCGATTGATTATTAAAAAGGGAAAGGCGTGAACTCTGAATATATAATAGGGTATCTGAGATGGATCAGGGTCGATGTAATTGAGACTGATCGCCCTACCGATGAAAAACTATGGCTCTTGGGCGTCAATGTCAGGCTTTCCTTGTCTAGATGCGGATGAGTGAGAGATGTCGGGGACGGAGTAAGGTTCCCTCCGGTCCGTTCCCGGGTTGGGTTAGGGGAACGATTTTCCACACTTCTATGACTGAACTTCGAAAAGTTTGTTTGGTCGAGATCTTTAAACCTAGGCTTTTAGTGGGTTATTTAGAAAGTGTTTAGATGCCCCCCCTCGCCTCTCAGCCCATAAGGCTGAACGGTTAACAGCGGGAAGCGAAGGAAGAGAATCAATTTGGTTATACCCGGCAGAGGAGTGAATAGTCGGCTTAGGGTTCATCGGATGGAGCGGCGGGTTAGAGTCCAAGCTTGCCCCCGGGGGAAATACTTCACACTGGGCTCGCCCTTTTCTTTATCTATTCTATTTCATAAGTTGCATCCGATTTACCTTACCTGTCCCTAGCTTGTGTAGCCTATGCGAAGCAAGCCAACACTGGCTTACCGAACAGTTCCAGTTTGCTGACTTTCTTTATACGACACAGGCTTCTGATCTACGACCAAACAAACGAAGCGAAGCGCAGTTCAGTCATAGAAGTCGATAAAGCCTTCTTGAATTGAACTACTTCTTTGCAATACTTCACTTCTTTGCTTTCGAGAGAATCCGTGAATGAAGTAAGAAAGGTTCTTAGCCAACCATGCGTCAACTATAAGGGTTAGGCTTCATCGAGCTAGTTACCTCGGTCAAGCATCAGTCACAGGATCAGACTCGGAAAAAGGCCTTTAAGGCCCGATACTCTCTCTCAGCAGCAACATCCACCACAAGATCCGATGCAACAAAAGCTGTTCCTTCTTCAGATACGGGAGCTTTCTCCGGATTCAGTTGATGATTCTCTTTCAGTTTCATCTCTGTTTGAAAGACCTTTCCGTTGTCAATTAGTCAATTACATCGATCCTCCACTCTAATAAGCTTTCCGTTTGAAGCTTTCAGTAAACTTCTTTCAGACCCCTATCTTTCTTACTTGACTGCTTAGCCGAGGAATCTTTCCTTTTCGGTCTCCTACCTGCGTTCCTAAGCTAGCTCCGTAACCCTATCCTTCTGAGTCGTGCTAGCCCTATACCCACTTAACTATAAGTTACGAATGGAACCTTTCCTCATAGTCTTCGAAAGCCTTGGATTAACGGATACTTTACATGCACCGGAGCCGGCAACTTTCTCTTTACCTGGTGGTGCCATCCTTTCCGGCATTCCCTCTCATGACTTCTTAGTCGAGCTTTTGTCTTTTGTATATTTTCATAATTTCTTATTCCGAGGTCCGGTTATATGGTCTTCCAGACCAGTGCGTAAGGTGCCCAAAAGTCGAATTTCTTGATCTGATCATGGACCCCAAGTCCCCTATTGCAGAGGATCTTGGCGGGTAAGGCGGTTGGTTACTCCGTTTTCAAAGTCAAAAGATAGTTGCAGATTAGATCAGCTAAAGCTATCTGTCTCAAGTCTATCGCTTAGTGGCCGAGGGAAGCCCCCGTCTAGCACATCTC